TGCCACGTTCCGCTGCTGCTGCACTCCCGTGGTCGTGACACACCCCGACATGCTCAGGGGTGCAAGGGCCCTTAACAGCTTGCGGTTTTAATTCTCTTTAGTTCCTTTTCCCATTTATCTCTAATGTACAGAGTTGAAGTTGTTCTATTTCTCACCATATTTTGATACAACACTGAAATTACTCTCTTGACTGTACCTCTGTATGCATTACACATTTTTACAATCAATCCGTTTAATTCACATGGGGAATCCGGCTTTATCTCCTTATTGAAATAATCTCTGATTTGTAGGTACATGTAGAAATCTTTGTTTTCTAAAGTCATATTCTCTCCTTAGTTTTAGAAAACTTTTGATTTCTCCTTTTTCAATTTATGTGTCAATTATTGTTATGCCTCTATTTGCCCACTGTTTAAACCTTTGGTTTAGAGTCCCTGGTTTGAAATTAGTGTCATAGGCCATCCAACTCAAAATCTTTGCCTCATTCTCCAATTTGTATTTCTTAACTACTTTAAACCAGATTCCCAAGGTGAACTCAGTGATTGAATTCAATAATCTCTCCTTTTCCTTATACATGTTTCTGTTCGCAATCATACTCTGCACGTGGCACCCTTCCATGTTCAGTTCAATCTCCTTCCATCCTGTAAAATAATTAGCATCACACCAACCTATCAAGGGCCGGAGTTGAGCGGCATAATAATATTTTTGGAGGTTAGGCAGTGCCAAGCCTCCCTCGTCTTTGGGTAGCTGAAGTGTAGGGAATCTAATTCTCGGTTTATGCCCATTCCAGATAAATCGTGAATTTTTTTTGTGCCACTCTTGAAATTGAGAGGGAGGGATTTGCACCGGCAAACACTGAAACAAGTACAAGAGTCTGGGTAGCACATTCATCTTGATGATTTCAATCCTTGAGCTGAAATCTAACATCAATACTGACCATCTATCCATATCCTTAAACATTTCCTGGTTAAGGGGTTTGTAATTCATTTCAAACAATTTGGGTAATGTATTTGTAATGTTTATTCCTAAGTAATGAATTATTCTTTTGCTCCAGTTGAAATTATATGTTTGTTGTATTTCTTTAGATGGTGAGTAATTAAATGGCAAGATCTGTGTTTTCTGCACATTTAGTTTATATCCTGAAAGGTAACCATAATTTTCCAATAGTGTCATCAACTTTGGAAGACAGGTGTCTGGTTTCTTAGATGAATCAAAACATCGTCTGCGAATAGCCCAATTTTGTGCTCCCTCCCACCCACTTCCACCCCCTTTATTTCTTCATTTTGCCTTATTGCTTGCGCGAGCGGCTCAATAAAGATTGAGAAGAGCGTAGGGGACAGACAGCAGCCCTGTCTGGTAGACCTTTCTCACTTAAACTCTCTGGTTAGACTCCCATTTATTTTTATTCTTGCCCTTGGATCCTGATATAATGTCTTAATACAATTAACTGAGTCTTGGTTGAACCCAAATTTCTCCAAGCAGAGGTATAAAAACTTCCAGCAAACACTGTCGAAAGCTTTTTCAGCATCCAAACTAATTAATATAGCACTTTCTCCTTTTCTTTGTATTTCTTCAATTATATGTAGCGTCCTTCTTATATTATCTTGCGTCTGTCTTCTCTTGATAAAACCCAATTGATCTTAATGAATCAATTCTGACATAAAGGTTTCAAATCTATTCCATAAAATGGATGTGTACCACTTGTAGTCACAATGTAGCATCAATATCGGCCTATAGTTTTCACATAGTTCTCTGTCTTTACCTCCTTTGGGACTTACTGTGATAATGGCCTCTTTCCATGAGGGAGGTAGGTTTCCATTTTTTTATTTGGATTTAGTTCCTTTCTTAACATTCTGTATCATTCAGGTGAATAGCCATCACTTCCTGGGGCCTTGTTACACTTGAGTTTCTTCATTGCGTTTTCTAATTCTTTTTCTGTGATCTCTTGCATTTTGGGATTCACCTATTGCTGGAAGGTCTAATGAATTTAAGAACGCTTTAACCATGCCCTCATCTCCAGAGGCAGGTTGTGAGTACAGCTTTTTAAAATATTCTTTAAACACATTTTCTATCTCTTCAGGTTTATAAAGTAACGCTTTAGACATAGGTTCTCTAATTTTATGAATTGTGCCAAGTTGTTGTTTATTCCTCAGTCACCTAGCCAGTGATTTTTGTTGCTTTTGGTCCCCCCTCATAGTAGGTTTGTCTTAGGAATCTAATTTTCTTTTCCACTTCTTTCTCTAAAATGTCATATATTACTTTCCTAACCTTTTTAATTTGGTTGTACTTCTCTGGGTCATTTGTGTTTTTATGTTCTTGTTCTAACTTTTTAAGCTCTCCAATTTTATCCTAATACTCTTTCAGTCTCGCATTTTTTTTTATGCGCTGCGTATGATATTAGCTTTCCCCTCATCACAGCTTTCATAGCATCCCACAAAATAGTGGGATCTACTTCACCATTATCGTTCTCTTTTCTATATGTGTTGATGTCATTCTTTATTTTCCCCATCAGGGTTTTATCATTAAGCATGCTAAGATTCAGTCTCCAAGTTGTATTCTTTTCTCTCTTATTTAAATTTAATGTCAGATATACACTACAATGATCTGATAGATCAGCTACTCCTATCTTACATTCCTCGACCCTAAATCTTTCTTCTGAAAAAGTAATCAATTCTTGAGTGGGTTGAATGAGATGCAGAGTAAAAGGTATAGTCCTCTCAAGCAGGTGGGTTTCTCTCCAAATGCCCACTATTCCCAACTCCGTCAGTGTTGTATTTATAAATCTGGCCGTTTTCTTTGTACTGTTTGTGTCTATGTTATGTTTTAGTGCAACATTCATATCACCTCCACAGATCAGAATCCCCTCCGTTTCTAGAATAATAATATCAAAGTGTTTATCTGATTCTGGGGGTGCGTGTATATTGAATAATGTGACCAATTGGTCTTCTAATTTACCCTTCACCATAATGTAGCGGCCTTCTTTGTCCTTTACCTCTTTTTTAAGTTTTCAAATTTTGTCATGTTAGAAACCAGAATTGCCACGCCTCTTCTGCTGCCCTTTCTATATGAGCTATAGAAGGTGTCTTTAATTTTTCATGTTCCTGTTGTGACAGGTGGGTCTCTTGAGAGAAAATTACCTGTGGTTTTTCATTTTTAATTTATTAAGTACTTTACCCCTTTTTTTGGATTATTCAACCCATTCACATTCAGAGAGGCTGTTTCTAGTGCTTCAAGTCTTATTCTTTCCCTCTTTTGAGTGTTTCTTTGTTTTCCTGACACCAATAACAACATGAACTGTCAAAACTAAAACAACAAGACAAGAACAAAATGAACAATCTTCCAATAGCATCGGGCTCTCTCTCTCTTGGACCCAAATGCCCGTTGGGGGGCAAGGGGAAAGTCCTTATTCTCAAGAAGGGCCCCTCACTAGCGGATGGCAATGACTCTCCGAGGAGTCTTCCTTTCCTTCTAGATAGGTCCAACGTATATCCTACAAACTTTTCCTGCCAGTCAAGTAATTCTCAATTTCAAATTAGACGTTTCTAATGGGAGGAATGCTGTCGCTTTGCATCAAGTCTTTGTGCTTAGGTATAAAAATCAAACAAACAAAAAAACAACTAAAATATGGTCAATTATAACCTTTCTAGGTGGTGAACCCTTAAGAAATAGGAGTTAGTGAAAAGTAAATAGTAAGATTTTACCTAGTTCAAAACTTAAATATTCTGTATCTGTCTCTAGATATTTAAATTAAAATATGCATATGTCCTGCTTACAGCTTCCTCCCGTTCCTCTCAGTTGTTGTCCTCATCTTTGGCTCACCTCACTCCGCACAGCTGATCCCCTGACTCGTTGCCATGGAAACGCTCTCTGTATAGGTCCTCCATCAAATCTCCCTCCTCTGTGTGTCTCACCTGCACTTTGAGCCCCTTCTCCTCCATACTGTCGCTGCTTCCCTTGCACTGTTGTAGAATCTGGGGCCCTCGGATCAGTGTATTTTAATCCTTGTCAGCGGCGTCTGGAATTTGATCCCCTTTTCCTTCAGCACCTTTTTTATTTTGGAGTAGGATTTGCATTTCTGCACCACGTCATTTGCGTAATCGTGGTCGAAAAATATTGGTTTGTCGTCAATTTTGATGTGCTTTTACCATATTTTCTTAAGGAGCATTTCCTTTGTTTCGAATTGGAGAAAATTGACAATTATAGATCGTGGTGCTGCTCCAGGTCGCGATCTCCCCGCCGCCGCTCTGTGCGCCCGTTGAATCTGCAGGCAAGTTTCCTCATCCAGTGCCAATTCTCTCCGTAGTAAACTCTCCACAAATGGGGACACAGAGTCCCCCTCTGCACCCTCCGGGACCCCGAAAATGTGCACATTGTTCCTTTGTGAATTCCCCTCCAAGTCAGTCACTTTTTCTCTCAGACTTCTGTGTTTTGAGCACGGTCAGCAGTACTTCTTTGGCCTCCATGCTCCATTCTTCAAGTTCCCCTATACGTGTTTGAGCCTCTTTGATACTTTGCTTTTGTTCCTGTATTTCCTTGTTGTTGACTGACAGTTTTCTGTCTATTTGCTCTTTAAAGGTGTTGAATTCCTGCCTGAAGTCAGCTTTGAATTCTTCCTTAAATGTTGTGAAGTCGTGTTTTATTTCTTGTTTGAGTCCTCGTATTTCTCTCGTTAAGCTAGTTAGCCCCTCGTGCAGCGTCTCGGCGTTAACTCTCTCTGCATGTTGTCGTCTGCGGAGTTTTCATCCATGTCCAGTTCTCCTCCCGTTTTATTCTGGAGTTTTTACGTTAGTCGTCTGCGGAGTTTGGTTCCCCACTTATTACTCAGAATAGTTGATAATGTATTTTAAGTTTTTGTGTTTTAGGGGGGTTATTTTATCCTCGACTGGCTGGAGTTCTGGCTTAAGCTGCCATCTCTCTCATTGTGAAACTGGAACCACCTATCAGTGTTATTTTTAAGTTTGCCACTAAGTAGTTTTCATCTCTGTCCCCCTCCTCTTCTACAGAATGGCCCCGGAGGAACCAACCTGTCTCTGCTCTCCAGGAACCCTCTGGCAGCCACACATGAATTTCGGCAGGCCTGTCATGCCTGCTACAGCAGAATAGGTTAATTTAAGTCTTTCAACTTTGACCCTTCTTTCTTCATTGCTAATTCCAGGGCAGGAGTGATGTTAGTTTAATGTGAAATATCTTTAAAAGTAATGTTCAGTCATCAAGGGGGGCTTAACAGCTTTTATCACTCACTAATAGGAATTGTAATAATATTTACAGGATGTATATCATCTTACAAAAGTCCTGATTAAATATTTTCTAATTCTTATAGTACAGTGTAATTTAACCTCCTCTTTCCTCCTCCTGCTCACAGGTCCACGAGTGATGGACTACAAGTATCAGCCAGAGGCAGCACACCGCTGCAAGAGGGACGTGCTGCTGTGCCGAATTAAAAACATGGACGACCCCACTTGGAAGCGGATCCGGCCACGACCGGCAAGAAACAACTTCCTGGGGGCATTTGTACTCTGTAAAGGTACAATTTATTTATTATTCATATATTCTTAATAAAAATACTCCTTACAGCCAGATGTGATGGAAACATGGCAAAATGTGTGTTTATATTCCTTTGACCATGGCCTCTCCCCCGTCTGCTGCAGAGGTGCAGAGCGTCAGGAGTGCCAGTACGGGGAGAACTGTACGTTTGCTTACTGCCAGGAAGAGATTGATGTGTGGACTCAAGAGAGGAAGGGCGCGCTGAGCAGAGAGCTGCTGTTTGATCCGCTGGGCAGCACAGAGAGGCGGGCACTCAGTGTCACCAGACTGCTGCAACTCCACATGGGCATGTTCATGTTCCTCTGTGAGGTAATACAGTCAGTCAGTGCTTCTCCTCTTCCTTTTGGTCTTTCTGTACCTACACCTTTTGAGCACAAGAACAAGACTTCAACGTATCTTCATCTTTTTTTAACAGGAATGTTTTGACAGTAAGCCCCGCATCATCAGCAAACGCAGTAAAGAAAACTTAGCAGTTTGCTCAAACCTCACAGCTCGACACTCGTTCGATGACAACAAGTGAGTTTAATGTTGTTGTTTTTCTTTTTTTATATATTTTTATTAACAATAAAGCATCACATCTTAATCTTAACATCTTAATCACATATTACATAGATGTTACATTTTCCCCCACACACAAAATAAACACATTGACCCACAGCACGGCACAGCACAGTCTTAAATCACTGACTAGATGAGGTATCAACATGGCAAATCAAACACACAGTAAACATAGATACACACAGTGAGTAAATCAATACAGACAACAGAGCCTCTCCTTATCCTTCAACTCTCACTCCTTGGTCTAGGAAGCACCCTCCAGAATACATTACATATTCTTGTCCCACATAATCAAGAAACGGAGTCCATATATGATGAAATATTCTTATTTTCCCTCTGGACCAATATGTCAAATATTCCATGGGAAGCAGGTCTTATATAACCTTGTGCCAGTCTGAGAGGGTTGGTGGCTTTTGTGAAATCCATGTAAGTAATACACTTTGTTGTGCAGCATAGGTTAACACATTCAGCAGTTTGTTGATTATGGGTGCCCTTCATTTGTGGATGTGGCATCCCTAACAGAAGGCACACTGGGTCCATTATGTTGTTGTTTTTTAAAAATTTAAATAAGTTTGGTTTATGTGCAACTTGATGAAACACAGAGGGCTTGATATAGTGACACTATAAGATAAATCAGCCCTCTCCTCTCCTCTTTAGGTGCCTGGTGCACGTGGTGAGGTCAGCCAATGTGCGCTACAGTAAGGTGCGTCCCCTGCACCCTCTCTGTCAGTTCGACGTGTGTCGCCACGAGGTCCGCTACGGCTGCCAGCGAGAGGACAGCTGCTCCTTTGCCCACTCAGTCATAGAGCTCAAATGCTGGGTCCTGCAGCAGGATACTGGTGAGTACCATGTCACTGTAATAAAATCTCATCCAGCCGGTCAGCGACTCATACCTGACTTTGAAAATGGTATCAAGTATGTTATCAAATATTTCAAGGAATTCTTTTTCTGAGCTGCTCCCTGATATTTTCCCCTCAGGTATCACTCATGAAGAGATGGTACAGGAGTCAAAGAGACACTGGCACAGGTTGGAGCAGAATGCACAAAAACAGCAGAAGGTGAGACAGGAAAGGGGGCTGGTACCTGTACTAATACCTGTAAAGGTGAGGACGGCCTTATACATCCTCTCATGGCAGCTACCATGCAGGGAGCTTCCACCTTAACCACTGTTGATGTTTTTGAGAATGTATGACAACAGGGATAAGATGAGGTCTGTGCAGAAGTGAACAAGTTATTAACAAGTTATTCTTCCAATGTGTCCTTGATACCATTCACCTTAATTTCCTTTTCCAACCACCTGTTTATTAAGAGCTACAGGTTACTTTCAACATGTCATTTATGGGGGAATCAGCTGCAGTCAGTTTTTTGGTTCATTTTGATTTGACAGCAGCTGTTGAATAAAAAGTGAAACAAAGCTGCCAAGATGTATTGTAATTGATTAATGAATGAAATCTTTCTTCTTTTTCTGTGTTTCAGCCAATCCACATCCCCCATCCGAGCAGCAGCTTACCTGCAGGAGGGGTGGGGGGGATGGGGGGCGACGGCCTTGGTGGAGGCGGTGTGAGCCCGATGGGTGGCATGAGCGTGGGAGGGTTAGGAGCGGTGGCGGGACGAGGTAGACCCCTCAACCTGAAAATGAAGTTTGTGTGTGGCCAGTGTTGGAGAGAAGGACAGGTGAATGAGCCTGACAAGAACCTCAAGTACTGCACAGCCAAAGCACGGCACAGGTGAGGCCGCTGTCACACAAACACATGCATGATGAAATATGTCCAGTGATTCAAAGCTGTCACCCTAACCCTAGGAAGTGCCTTAAATACTCTCTAGAACAAAGGATTTTTAATGGGCGCGCAACTAAGTCTATGCACTGTTCTGAAACTGTTAGTGTGCAGCTTTTCTGTCTTCAAGTCTTGCACTTAGAAATTGATTGAAACGGTATGGGGTCAGATTTGTTTTATTATCAACTTTGAGAGCAGAGCTATTAGGCAAGAGTTTGATTCCCTTATGCTCGTGCATTCTCTGCTATGTGCACTCCCCGTTTATTATGTTCAAACAGGTCTTGTTCGGTGGCCCTGTTTTTGTTCACGCTCCAAGTTGCCTCTCGGTTGATGAAAGAGCATGCAAAAACTTACAACGTGCAAGTGGTAGTTATAATATGAGCATGGTTTATCAGTCATTGATTACATATATTTGTTGCCACAAAACAATATTCAGTGTTTTGGGTTTTAGCAAATAAGAAATGTAAAGAAAACAAAAGTAAAGAACTTCTTTGATGTGTAGGGCACGTTATCTCTCCTGTATTGATAACACTGGTTGTTTAAGTGTTTCAGGTAAAACCTGTCCCTCTGTTTATAATTCACGTCTGCTTTCTGTCTCCTTAGCTGGACGAAAGAGCGCCGCGTCCTTCTGGTGAAATCCTTTGAGAAGAAGAAGTGGGTAGTTGTTAGGCCTCTGCCCTTCTCCCGCACATATCCACAGCAATACGACGTGAGTTCCTCCCTTAAAGCTCTGCTCTTCATGCATTCCTCTCTCTCTCTCTCTCTCTCCCTCTCTCGCGCTCTCTCCCTCCCCCCCACCCACCCCTCGGCCTCTCACATGCTCGGCACAGCTGACGCCCTGTCTGCCCCGGGGGAACAGGTGTTGTTGTAAATTTCCTTCCCTCTGTGTCTTGTTGTTGTGTTGCTTCAGGATTGCCTCTGATGTTGACACTTTCACCTGTGAAGTAACACAGTACTTCAGTGATTGAAGGATTACAATGTTAGGAAGAATTCATTCAGGCTTTTTGAAGAATCTGTATCCTTCATCCAACTCTCGTTGCTAATCATTGGAAATGCAACGCTGCTGAATGTGTTCTTACAGGAAAACCAGTTTTTATCACTTTATGACCCTTTACCTTTGCCGTACTGTGTCTCATTCAGATGTGTGTGCATGTGATGAAGCAGAAGAAGTGCCACTATATCGGAAACTGCTCGTTCGCCCACAGTCTGGAGGAGAGGGACGTCTGGACGTACATGAAGAACAACAGCTGTAAGATCGGCTTTCACGTCGAAACTCTGCATTTTATCAGTGCATTTAGAGTTCTAAATGTTCTAAAGTTTCTTAAAATTTTCAAACAATATAACAGAAGACATGTAAAGAGAAAGACACAACCAAAAAGGACTCAAATCAACCACTACAAAAAAACAAACCAAAACAGACAATAAAATTAAAACCAGAAAAGGCAAATAAAATAGGACATAAAATACCCCATGTCCTCATCATGCTCACTTCAAGGTTTTATTATTTATCTGCTAGAGTCCATTAAATGTAAATCTAGCCTCAGCCTGAATGGGAATGCCCAGTGCCCGTATTCAGTCCAGAGCGCTTCCAATTCTGGTAAGAGAATCCTTTTGACAATAAAAAAAGACTCTCCGTGGGGAGCATTTAGAGTTCTCAGTATACACGCTGAATACAAAAGGAGTGGGGTTGCAGGATCTGTACATCCCATATTGAATTTTCATCTTTCATCTCTTAAATTTAATTTGAAGTTTTACTTTGAATAAATGAGTTAAATCAGAGCAGAATGTAGTTGTATAGCCAAACTGTATTTATTTAAACCTGCTATTAGATTTCTCCTCTAAACTGTGTCCTCTTGCCTACCGCTACAGTCATTATAATTATTTTTGATTGAAGTGCCCTCCCCTCTCCACTTGCACTGATTGTGTTTGAATAACCCTCTATTCAAGCTAACGGAGGTCTTTGCCTCTTTTTTCTCTCTCCTGTCTTCCCTCACCCCTCCACAGTGAGAGATATGCAACAGATGTACGAACTGTGGCTTCAGCTCACCAATCAGAGCCGACGCACAGACAGCTCGGCAGTAACCCCGCCCCCAGAGGACAAGCAGGTCACCATAACGGCAGATTACACAGAAGGCATTGTGAGTGGCGGTAAAGAATTTCACAGATGAAGAAAAAAAAAAGTTAATCTGCACACAGAACATTAGACCGTTTCATGTGAGTTTATAGAAACTGACTACTCCACAAATATGTGGGTAAGAGTGTGAGAGTTGACCCGTGTGCGTGTGTGATTTCAGGGAGTCCGCGGTTTGTCAGAGGGGGACGATCTCTGAAGTTGAATAGAGGCAGCTGATCAGCGCTAAGCTGCAGACAGAAGGACGGACCTTTGATACCAGCCACAACTCAACATTCTGTCATCTTACCTGTCTGACCTCCTCGAGCATCCAGACAGTAGTGTGAGAACAAATCGGCACACAACTGCTCACTTATATCAACACGCAATCACAAACACAAACACATCCTCACAGCACATTATGCACCAACCACAGGCACTGACTAACACAAAGAGAAAGCTGCAGTTACACACAGCACTATTAGGTTCCTGTTTAGTTTATACCACAGAAGTTCCACAGACAACTCGTTTACCCTGACTAGAAAATAATCACCCGGTGTTCCCTAGTGCTCTTCGACTTAGTGTCTTTTCTTTTTCTCAACTTCTCGCAGCACTGACTCAATTCTTTTGGTGGGCGCGCTGGTCGCAGCTCGTACATTTTGCTTGGTGATAGTTCAAAAATATATTTGAAGCTCGGCACTAATATGTTTAAAGTTTAAAAAAAAAAAAAATTACTTTGTGGTGCCAAAATTGCCGAGCGCTCAGTGCTGTCGATGGCTAACGAGACTGAAGAATCTATGAAGGGATGTAAAAAAAATATATATATAACTATAGTGTTCTGGGTGGAAACTTGTCTTTGAGCAACCAAATCCTACTCTCCCTCCTTTATGGGAACACAGTGAGAGGGTCAGAATAACTTTGTAGGGATTCATTATTCTGAGTGGTTTCTTTTATTTTTTATTTTTATGGGGAGTCGTTACTTCCCTGTTGTATTGTCTGCCATATTGGTAGAGTGCTTTGAATGTAACGCCTGCATGGGCCTTTAAAACTAGGAAATTAGTCATTGAAAACATTGCTGTGGTTGTGGAATGTATACGTGGTAAAGAACATTTACATGCCCCAAAAACAAGCTGGTGTAACAGCAGTTCCTCTCTTTATTGATATAAAACAACCCCGGTTAAAAATCATACCAACAGCTCCTTGATGGCATGAGAACACACACAAACACACACACACACACACACACATTCTCACATATTATCCTCGGAGTTGCTTTCAGCCGACACCCAAGTGAATCAAAGTATACCTGAATTTCAACCTCCTTTAGGTTGACACAAAGGGGGAGATGAAAATATCTCAATAAATTACCTGTTGCTAAGGTGCATGTGGCTAATGGCTCGAAGCAGTTGTTGCCAAAGCGACCAAGGTGCTATTTACCATCGTTACACTGCACTGGTAAGAAGCGTTGAGACATGCAGGCGGTGTAGAAGGGTTACAGAGGAGCGAGTGCAGGAGACATATGCACAGTGCTGCTCTCAGCAGTAGATCAGTTCAGACCACAGATGCCCATAAATAAATCATGACCTCAGTTTGACTGAAGCCCAGTGAAAACACCGAGCATGAAAAATTCTGTCTTGTAGTAATTTAAAGAAAAAAAGATGTCAATGTGAACGAGTATTTCGAGCGTGAGAAGCAGGGATAAGGTGTCTAGTTAAAAATGACCGTTATAAAGATTGTATTTCTCTCTAGTTTATGGTGATGATAGTAAAGATTATTTGAAAGTTAGGGGCGAGGTGCCACCTCTTCATTTGAACTTGGGTCATTATTTCACTAAAAAACCAATCACGCCCCCGCAGCCTTTCCGATGGAAACCTGTGTTCTCCATATGCATGGTGTTGTATTCCTGTTAGCTGACGGTAGCCCCTAACATTAGTCTGCATTATGGGAAACCTGCTAGTCCCATACAGGAAAACAATACATACCCCATATTGTGCCTATAAACAACACATCAACATGTGACACACACACACACACACACACACACACACACACACACACACACACACACACACACGCTGGCAGGACACCTGTCGCTATCTTAATCAAGCCTTTACTGTTGAAGGAGACACAACGGAGGTGTGTCTTTATTCAGATACATAAACATGCATATTATACATATTTACAAACTATGGTATAAAACTAATAATAATTGATAACTTAGCAGTTAAGCTTAATAAATATATAACCTGAAAAGCTGTATTGATTACATAGAAGAACTTCTTGTTATTGAGGTATTGCTATATGACATGTATCGCTGAACTAGATGACTATAGTGACTTTTTTTTTTGAAGGGTTATCCCTTAAAATTTTGTAACTTTTCCTTCTTTGCGGGTTGTTTCAGACGGGGTTTGTGAGAAATGGTTTGCAGCAGAGATTGATTTGAGTTTCAGGCTGAATGTGTGGAAAAAGATCGGCGTTAAACTGAGTGACTGAACTGGAAGCACAGAATATAGAAAATATTCCTGTTCTCCAATATTACGATCAAAATGAAGAGAAGCTGTACTTCCTATTTTAAGTCAACTAAACTGAACCAATGGTTTCAATTCTCAAATACTGATTTATTTTATAAATATCGATAGGCAATCAGCGCCAAAGAAAACAACGGTGAATTGGTGCAAAACTCAATGCAGAAGAGACAATTGACCTGTGGACACTCCCCTGATCTACAGCACAGTCTCGAGTGTCTGGGATGTTTGAAATGTTATTGTCTCGAGCTCTACATTCAGTTCAGTAGATGAATAGTAAAAAGGTTTTGATATAAAGGGTGTAGCGTCTTCTAATGACATAATCCCTTAGGAAAATTTAGGTTTAAAAGCAAAGCACTGGTCAAGCCGAATGTGGCTCTCTGGTCAGTTTTGCGGGTCACTCTGCGACTGTTAAGTGGGATCGTTGATTTTGAACCCCCCCTTGTCTGAGACAGCCCGGGTATTAGCTTCTCTGAGGGATCGTATTACTACTCCTAGTATTATGATGAATATGATGACGATAATGATTGCTATCTATTGACTATTTCTATTTCTTCTCTATATGCTATTGATATATGTACGTTATTTGCAATGTATAACTCTCCTTATATATGTATCCATGTATGAATATAATAATGAACAGTTATATGCGTCTGTGTATGCAGCAGTGCACAGCTCGCTCTGAGAGGCAGCGAGCGGGGAAACGTCCGGCTTCTGATGAGTTCTGTAAAGGCACTTTGAGTCATCAGCGGCGGACGGCTGTAGGTCGTTGTTACTACTAGACGACAGTAGACCTGCTAGATATGAATGTTGTCTGAGCTCTGCTTGTAGGTATAAGGATTGTTTATGCACTGGACAAAGGTAACACTTTAATTGATGACTTAAGAGAACAGTTTCACCCTTTGGCAGTGTCGTAGTTTTGAACCAACAAACAGAGCTCTGTGCTCGCTGCCTGTGCTGCATCAATGTTTATATTGATTCAAAGACAAATCTCTGGAATCAAAAGCATACACAGGAGCCTATATACTCCCGTATAGCGCCTTATTCGATATACTACACCTATAAGATGATACATACCCCTATTGTATAATCCTGCTTACTATATATACACTATATGATACCTGATACCTATTATAATACTTAGACACCCTTTATAAGGTAATTTAGATAAGAGATGGTGGAGCTGGGTTTTTTTTTCTGTGGCTGTGGTCAGTAATGTGTTCCCATCTTGTAGCTCAGGTTGTTGTGAGGAGAACGCTGCACACTCAAATGCTCTTTTTCATTTAGTTAATGTCTGTTAAAGGATATTTGCAACACGTTTAGTATGAGAAATGAACATCAGCAATGATGAGGCTTGATAAATTTTGACTTTGGCTTTACCAGACGGTTGCCGAGCAACATCGGAAAGTAAAAATAACATAAGTATACACTGATTAGTGAACATTTTTTTAATAGTTGTGTTGCAGAAAAGAAGAAAAAGCATTTGAGGGGAGGCTTCCTCCTCAACTGTTGGAGAGAGTCCAGCATGTATGATGTAACTGACACACAGAGAGAAAAAAAACGGAATACTTGTGCTGTGTGTTTGAGTGCAGCAGAATCATGACAAACTTAAGGGGAGGCTGTGCACGTAACAAATCACACATACTTTAATTTCTTCAACTCAGACTTTGTCTTGAAAACATTAAGAGTGTGTGTTTTGGTGTTATACTTCACTTCACTGTGTTAATGCAGCAAATACAGCTGATTGTAATCATTTTAATAAGCTGAGGAATCAATCCAAAATACCAGAAGCTTGCAAGACGAAGACTAATCCAGTTCTGTAAAACAATGAAAACAATTCCATTTGCACATCCAAAACAAATGTTCTGCGGTGTGGAAATGTAATTGTTTGGTTGGGATTTACTTTAAAGCCTCTTAAAGCTTATCTTTTTCCACTCACTGATTAAAAAACAGCTTTTGTGCAGGCTAGAGCATCTGTTTTGGTTACTGCTTCCTGCTGCAGGTTAATAAATGTAGCCGTTCTCGACTGTGGGAAAAGTTTCTGATCAAAAAACTTTTCCTGTTTTTGTTTTTGAAAATTTGACACACCCTGTCTTGTGCTTCCCCTATAACCAGTTTATGTCGCATGATTCTCTCTATCTACACAGCCACATAAAAAAAAATCTTCATTTATTGGTTTTCAATCAGTTAAAAACAATTGGCTATTAGAATTGTTTTCAACCACACAGATAGAGGAACCAGGGTTGTTAGAAGTGGAAAAATCAAGGCCTCTTTTTGTACTGTATTTTTACATTTTGTTGTTTTATGTTTTGTTTCACCTTCTGGACTTTGTTTTCTCTTTTCCCCTCCCTGGTTGGAAGTTCATGATCACACAAGTGGACCAAATCTCTTGAAAGCATTTAATAAACAGACTGTTTTAGAAAAAAAAAAAAGGGAGTGGGTTTTTCTTTTATCTTTGCATCAAACTCACTTTTCCTTCCCCGAGGAGACTTACATGACATGTTGCTGATAATTATTTGGTAATAGTTATGAATTCATTTATAGTTATGGGTCATTGTCTATTTGTAATTTCAAACCGTTTCAAATTGAGGAAGAGGGTCTCGGCTCTATTAACAGAATCCATCATGGTTGATCATAGAGCGTCACACTGTATGCTGTGACTGATTAATCGTTACAGTCTTTGAGTCATGTTTTCCCTCCTTTCATCACTATTGAAAAGGTTTCTGTGCTGAGAAGGGACGAGGGGATTTAACAATGAAAAAATTGAAGATACATACAGCAGACTGTTGAAGCCCCTTAATAGCAGGTGAAGAGCCTCGATTTATATATTTTTTAGACACAGATTTGGTCTCCCATCTTTTACTATTAAAGACATGTTAGGAATGGATTTTTTCAAGGTTTATTTTTGGACTTTTTATGCCTTCTATTTAGAGATAGGACAGTCGATAATGTCAGAAATCTGAGAGAGAGAGAGAGTGGGGAATGATATGCGGGGAAAGGAGCCACAGGTCAGATTTTAACCCAGGCCACCCGAGGACCTTTGAGGACCATGGCATCCGTACATGGTGCGCCAAACTAACCACTAGGCTACCAGCGTAGCAGGAATGGACTTCTTAATAGCCAATATAAACATTGAGAACTGTTAAAGCATGCAAAAACTTCTCAAACACTTGCAAAAAAACTTGTTAAGAAGATTGTTATATGAAAGAATCAGAGGGTAAATGACTGTTAAATTCTTCTATTTCAATAAAATGTGTTTACTTGGGACAGTTGAGAGCTGATCTTGGTCAGCCTTTGATTGTGACTGGAGAGCTATGATAGGTGATAAGAGTAAGTGACACTTTTATTGTCTCATTGTTATTCATCTACTTCAGTGAATGAAATGAATGTACAGCCTTGGTTAATAAAACATTTTAAAAAACTGGACCCTGTATGGAATTGATATTACATTTTTGAATGCACTCATTTATAAACTGGTTCTTATTTTTTTATTATTTTCTCTACACTTGTGTTAAATCAGGTATAAGAACAATACTATCAATACTATGCAATGTGATTTTACTACAGTGATTTAGAATGCTTTTATTGCAGGATATCAAGATGACAATCATAGTTAAAATGTTCAATGATCTTTTCAGGGTCAATCTGTTAAAATCACCTACAGCCTGCTGATGTAATCATCTTTGAAACCGTCAGCTCGACATGAGGCTTTCAAGGTTTGTAATGATTATCAATATTCATCTCTGCATTTAACACACATTTCTGTAGTTTCACACTTGAACTGTAAAGCCATTGCCAATCTTTCGCAATGTTATTTAAGATAGGACCCAGAGGACATACAGTCCTGGACATGTAGGAACATATTCATACATAATGACCCGAGACAGCGTCACGGTCGAGATGAGGGTTAGTTAAGTGTAACACACGTGTCACTAGTGGGCTCACAAAAAACAGTAGTGCACGTGGAAATATTCTCTGCAGCCTTCTTCAGTCCGAGCACTTACAAATTACACACCTTTATTAAATGGACTCATGTATTTCCTTCACTGGACATGATCATAGTCAAATTTAAATAATGAGCTAAAGGCTGTAAGGTGTGTCATTGTCACGTTTGAAGACAGACCCAAGTGGACATGAGCCATTATCAACGTAGACTAATTGATTCACCTGAACGTCATCTGCTAAAGAAGTTGAAAGGTAGCATACTCCGAATTATATGTAGACTATACACACAACTAAGGCACTAAACACTCACCTTAAGTCCCTGCAACAGGAACTGTATAGGCTATAACCTATGTATGCACACACATATATTTAATTCATATATACATTTGTGTGTGTGAAAAGCCTACATTGCTCTGTGACCTTTTCATAGTAATAGACATGTGTTGTTATTAGGCTATTTGTAATTCACCAGACAATAATTTGTGATATTTGTAATATTATTTCGTGTTTTATATCCAATTTATTAGCTTATATAACTGTCCTCATTTGGGCTCTCCACTTTTTTCCCTTAGGTAACAGAAACAGAGTTTGAGATTGGCTTTCACGGTTGTGATAGAAACGCACTTTGACCAATAGACGCTCTTTCCGTCGGGAGGTGGTTGAGGTAAGTTGCTGATTGGTTGGACGGGAGCTGGGGGAGCGGGACTCCATTAAGTAACTTGCGAGTTCACAGAGTATGAACCGTCTGCGTTTTGATATTTTCTACAGGTTATGAAAGCTGCCAGGCGAGGGTAAACGCCAATCGACCTCACTGGTCTTGTGTGGTCTGCTTTTACTTTATTTTACTCTTTAAAAGCTTCATCAGAGCAACTGATTAACTCTGAAATCATTTGTTATTATTGCAATATATAAGCAAGGAACATGACTACAGAGATCCCGGAGATTTTCAAGGCTATTCTTGAGCATCCATTTACTCTCCCGAACTTTGACGAAAATGGTAAGTGGCAGTCAATTAAAACAGTGAATTTATCTCCTTTGGTTTTCAATTCAAGACACATGCATCCCCGAGACCTACTAATTTATGTGTCTGCCGAAGTACTTTTTAAAGTATCTGCAAACAACTGCGTGTTTGTTGCGTAATCCCTGTCATCTGAGCTACAAGGGAATTAGTCCGCCTGCTGGACCTAGGTGTCTGTTCCCAGGATCTGGCTTGAATCCAAAGGTTTGGCGAATTATTTTAATGAACCTCCCTCAAAAAAAACCCAAAAAAGCTATTTATACCTGCATTCTAATTAGATAGGCCTAACCGCAAGCCTGAAAAAAAAGAGAGTTTGTGCACCTGTTGGGGCGGCTGTGGCTCAGTTGGTAGAGTCGCCGCTTCAGGTTCTGGGCAACGTGTCCGATGTGTCCTTGGGCAAGACACTTAACCCTGAATTGCTCCCGCTGCTTCAGTGGTGGTGTATGAATGGATTAGTTACTTCTGGTGGATGATACAACATAGCGACCACTACCATCAGGTATGAATGGGTGGGTGTGACATGTGGTGTAAAAGCGCTTTGAGTAGTCGGAAGACTAGAAAAGCTCTATATAAGCTCAAGTCCATTTACCTCTACCTTTAAATCTTTAATTTTTTTTAGAGAGGCACTGACATGAAGATCGATCAGGAAAACAGTTTCTTTAGCTAATGTTAATGAATGACTCACCATTAGTTTACTTGAAATCCATACATTAGCCTAACAAACCTGGATAACCTCATTTCTGCATTTCCATCGATTGCTAATGTTGCTGATCATTACAGTCATGTTTTGAAAGCAACACCTCAAGCATAAAGAAACGTCAACAAACAGCCACTCAGGCTGCTCTGATCTCTTAGGCATTTCTGTGAAACCCAGTGCAAACAAGTCTCAGTGCAAAATGGTGACAAAACCAGACAGGCCTCTCTCTCCGTTTGAATATTCTTAAACAAATGGAACCTTGCCGCTTTGAGTTCAAGTTGAAGTTATCTTTATTAGTCAAATGCACAACATAACAGGCAAAGCAGTCATAGCTGGCAATGACATTTTTATGTTCCAAGCTCTCCTTAACAATGCAAAAATAAAAAAATAGTATAGAAGATAAGAGTAACAACGTACAGTGCAATAATAACCAAAAAAATAAAATAAAACTAGAATATATGTACAGTAAATGGGGAGCACATGTTTAAAGGCTAATTTTGAGAACTCTGCCGCATTTTTATTTCTCTGAAAGATCCTGCAGGTGGGACATAGTGACCTAATAAAACAATGCACCATGAGGGATAAAAATAACATCGATGGTCCTTTGAATTATCCTGGTGATTTATGGTTGAATATAGGTGGTGCTGGTTCTCTGTTTTAACTCTGTGTTTGTTTGTCACATGGTGTCATCTGCCAGTATTGAGTGGATGTTTTTTGTTTTGTTTTGTTGGCTTTTGTAGCTTCATGATTTAATCACTAGAGGGCTCTGTTAGACCTAATTCAGATTAAAGTTGAATATCTTGTGTTACAATGACAGCTGTTTTGTTGCTGTCTGCCCTAAAAAAAAAAGGGTTTCAAAATATTTTGCAGGCTTGGATGTATATTGCTACAGCAGATTTTT